TCTCGGCCGATTTTTTGCATTGAGTTGATAGAGTAATTTGAGTTAATAATTTGAGTTACGAGCTCCGTCACGGAACGAATTAAACTCGTAAGTCAAGGCCCCACTGTAAATAAGGGGCATTTCAAATGTATGTTAACTTAGATGCACAAAAACAAAGGCTATCTCCAAGCAAAAATATCCTTTTACTAAAGAAGTTGTATGCCTGGGGCATGACTACCCACCATGACCTGCCCAGTTAAAAATTTATCATCAGATCACCATGCTGTGAGGTTACTTTCCATAGAATCCTTTTTTATTTTATTTTACTTTTTTATCCACAAAAGTAATGGAAAACCTTGCCAAATTTTGTTAGGTACCAGGGCTAACCTCTCTACTTTACACCCCATTTGCTCTAGAGCAGGGGTGGGCAAACTTTTTGACTCGAGGGCCACAATGGGTTCTTAAACTGGACCGGAGGGCCGGAACAAAAGCATGGATGGAGTGTTTGTGTGAACTAATATAAATTCAAAGTAAACATCATTACATAAAAGGGTACGGTCTTTTTTTTTTTTTAGTTTTATTCATTTCAAACGGGCCGGATCCGGCCCGAGGGCCGTAGTTTGCCCACGGCTGCTCTAGAGCCTTCAGAAGCCAGTGTTAATGTAAGAAATGTCCAAACCTGTAGAGAATTTTTATGAGTTTATTTGGGCCTACCTGACGACAATTGCTGGGGAGCAAAATCCCAGTGGATTGAGAAAATGCTCTGGATAGTGGCAGTTTTACAGCTTATTGTATATATAGTAACATCTAAGGAGAAGATTAAGGAGGGTTGCATGAAGTCTGTAATGATGGGAAACAAAGAAGGGGAAACTCTGGATTAGATAAAAAGTGAAATGGAGAGACACATACTTTTTTACATTGGTGGGTTCAGGATGATGAATAACAACATTACAGCACATAGAGATGGTACTTGGCAGGGGAGCGGGGCGGGGAGCACCATAAAAATGAGGGGTCTGTGATCTCAGTGCTCTGGTGCAGCAGTTCTGCCCTGAGGGGTCTAGGAAAGGAGACTGCGCTGACATTTCAAAGGTATATGATCTTAGATTTTATAAAAAGACAATAGGCTCACTTAAGGTGAAGGTTTACCTTTGTCAGGAAAGCTACAGGCCTAGGCTGTGACTGCCTGCCACAACCCACTTTTAGTCCGGAAATTTTATGTTTAGACATTCTATGTGGTTACTTTCAGTCTCCGAGTTTGTAGGGCCTGCCAAGTTGACCTCCCATGAACTTGTCAGGTTTAGTGTATGGCCCTTTTTTTCATCCACACTAGCAAAGGATAGCATAGTTCTTACTCGAGTCAATTTTCCTGACTTGGTTCTATATTGTCTGATCAGGAGTGGAAGGTAGCCCTGGCCAATGTGGCTCAGTTGGTTGGGTATCATCCCATGCACCAAAAGGTTGCCAGTTCAATTCCTGGTCAGGGCACATGCCCAGGTTGCAGGCTCAGTCCCTAGTAGGGGGTGTGCAGGAGCCAGCTGGTCAATGTTTGATGAGATAATGGCAGACTTCTCTAACCAGGTGGAGGAAAAAGTCACACAGGTTCAGAAGGCACATAGAACCCCAAGTAGAAGAACCCAAACAGGCCTGTGCCCTGACATATCATAATTAAAATGCCAAAAATTGAAAACCAAGAGAGAATCTTAAAGGCAGCAAGAGGAAAGCAAACTGTTACCTACAAAGGAGTTCCCATAAGGCTGACACCTGACTTCTCATCAGAAAATCTATAGGCCAGAAGGGAATGGCATGAAGTACTCAAGGTAATGGAAAGCAAGGATCTGAAACCAAGATCACTATAACTAGCAAGGCTATCATTCAAAATAAACAGTCAAATAAAGAGCTTCCCAGACCAAAAAAAAAAAAAAAAAAAAAAGAAAGAAAAAAAAGGAGCAGTTGGGAGCTTCAGTCACAGAAAAAAGGATAAGTTCCACTAAGTGTCAATTCTATTTCAGATCCCTCTATTTCCCCAAGCACAGTACTTACTAGACATACTAGAGGCCCGATGCACGAAATCCGTGCAAGGGGCTTGGCCCCCCCGTCGCTGCCATGGCTGCCTCTGCTTCGGCCCCGTCCAGAAGGTCGTCTGAAAGGACTTCCAGTCTAATAAGCATATTACGCTTTTATTATTATAGGTAATTAGTATTTAATAAATCCTCAAATGCCAAAATGTTCTAAAATTGTTTAAGCCTAAGGACTGAAAATTAAAGACTGGACATCAAGGAGAACTTTCTTCAAGACCCAACTCTGCCATAAAAAGGCAGGGCTTTTATTACAAGGTTATTCTCTGTGGTATGACTGCTCTGAGTCACACTGTGGATGAGCCTACCATGTCCATGAACATGGGATGCTACAATGTCCAGTAGCTCCTTGGACTGAAGAAGACTGAATGCTGCTTGGATGGGTCTGTAAAAATCACTCTTCTTCTGCTAGACATTTTCTATAAGCTTTCAGTCCTTTTCCTGAATAATCAGAGTTAAATTACGTCTGGCAATAGGATCTGGGTCTATGACTTTGACCACTTCTAAGACACATGTCTTAAGAGCTTATTAAGAGCTATATTTTCCTCAATACAAATTTCTTTGAGCTAATTCAGGGGTGGGCAAACTTTTTGACTTGAGGGCCACAATGGGTTCTTAAACTGGACCGGAGGGCCGGAACAAAAGCATGGATGGAGTGTTTGTGTGAACTAATATAAATTCAAAGTAAACATCATTACATAAAAGGGTACGGTCTTTTTTTTTTTAGTTTTATTCATTTCAAACGGGCCGGATACGGCCCGAGGGCCGTAGTTTGCCCACGGCTGCTCTAGAGCCTTCAGAAGCCAGTGTTAATGTAAGAAATGTCCAAACCTGTAGAGAATTTTTATGAGTTTATTTGGGCCTACCTGACGACAATTGCTGGGGAGCAAAATCCCAGTGGATTGAGAAAATGCTCTGGATAGTAGCAGTTTTACAGCGTATTGTATATATAGTAACATCTAAGGAGAAGATTAAGGAGGGTTACATGAAGTCTGTTGGTGGATTAAAATGATGGGAGAAAACAAAGAAGGGGAAACTCTGGATTAGATAAAAAGTGAAATGGAGAGACACATACTTTTTTACATTGGTGGGTTCAGGATGATTAATAACAACATTACAGCACATAGAGATGGTACTTGGCAGGGGAGCGGGGCGGGGAGCACCATAAAAATGAGGGGTCTGTGATCTCAGTGCTCTGGTGCAGCAGTTCTGCCCTGAGGGGTCTAGGAAAGGAGACTGCGCTGACATTTCAAAGGTATATGATCTTAGATTTTATAAAAAGACAATAGGCTCACTTAAGGTGAAGGTTTACCTTTGTCAGGAAAGCTACAGGCCTAGGCTGTGACTGCCTGCCACAACCCACTTTTAGTCCGGAAATTTTATGTTTAGACATTCTATGTGGTTACTTTCAGTCTCCGAGTTTGTAGGGCCTGCCAAGTTGACCTCCCATGAACTTGTCAGGTTTAGTGTATGGCCCTTTTTTTCATCCACACTAGCAAAGGATAGCATAGTTCTTACTCGAGTCAATTTTCCTGACTTGGTTCTATATTGTCTGATCAGGAGTGGAAGGTAGCCCTGGCCAATGTGGCTCAGTTGGTTGGGTATCATCCCATGCACCAAAAGGTTGCCAGTTCAATTCCTGGTCAGGGCACATGCCCAGGTTGCAGGCTCAATCTCTGGCATGTAGGAGGTAGCCAATCAATATTTTGCTCTCACGTCAATGTTTCTCTCCCTCTCCCTCTCTCTTCCTCTCTTTCTAAAAAGTAATTTTTAAAAATCTTAAAAAAAAAAAGAGTGGCAGGTAAAATTTTATGTTTCCCTTTCTTTTCCAAATTTAGACTCTTGTGAATTTGGTTTAGGGCTACCCACTAGTTATTGATCCTTTTCTTTCCCAGGGACAGCTATTGACTTCTTGTCTATCTTGTTTTGTGTCCTATAGTCTACTTCTCTGTGATTGGGTATAGTATTTTTAAAGCAACAATTCTCAAAGTGTGGTTCTCGGACCAGCAGAACAACAACAGCAGCAAGGAATTTGTTAGAAATGCAAATTCTCAGGCCTCACCCCAGCCCTGCTAAGTCAGAAACTCTGGGGTAGAATCCCACAATCTGTGTGCTTATGAGCGGTGGTAGGCCGCTTCCTGAATGGTCCTCATGATCTCCATCTCCTGGTATGCATGCCCTTGTGTAATCCCCACCCTCTGAGTATAGCCTGGACTTCATGACTACTTTATAATGAAAAGACAACAGTAGAAGGGATAAGATGTCACCGCTAAAAACTAGTCTATAAAGACTGTGGCTTCCATCTTAGTCACTCTCTGGCTCTCTGGCCATAAGACCACTAGCTGATGTGGTGTAAGGACACGGAGGCAGCCTATGGAGGGACTCAGATGACAGGAACCAAGACTTGCCAGCAACCACACGCGGGAGCTTCTCTCACAACCAATTCCAGTCAAGCCTTCACTTAGACTGTAGCTCAGCCAGCAGCTGAACTGTAACTTTACAGAGACCTTGAGCGGAGGCACCCAATTAATCTGTGCTTAGATTCCTGACCAACAGAAATTGTGAAATATTAAATGTTTATTGTTTGAAGTTACTAGGTTTTGCAATAATTGACTGCATAGCAATGTGACTAACTCAAGTGATTCTGATGGAGGCTAAAGTTTGAGACCCACTGCTTTCATTTCAGGAATAGTCAATTGGCCACAATTAAATCAGAATTTCTCACTCTCCCCCTTGCCATTCAGTAAGGATCAGTAAGTTGTTCATTTCACCTGCCTTTTAAGTTGGATCCTAACATTTCCTAAACCTGATAGGTCATGTATTGTTTTCCAGGTTGAGTGTCTCTCTTTCTTTTGCTTTTCCCTTGCTTTTAAGACCCACTCATTTCCTATTTTATATAGTCCACTATAGTTTGCCCTAGGGGTATCCTGTGAAAAGATACACCTCAATAACTCTAGTCTTCCAAACTCATCTGCTGTTGAAACAAGTGTTGTCCATTCTCTCTTCCTGAGATTGATAACTTCCATCTAAGAAGACATTTCTCATCAGAATGTCTGCAACCCAAGCTGCCTTTGGTAAGATGTCTTACTTCTGCTGCACCCTCCTTTCCTTGAGTTTATCAAGCACATTCCTTTGGAGCTGAAGCAAACCTGTATCTCCATCTATAGTGTCTGCACTACCTGCAAATCACACAATAGAACTTGATATGCTGAGGTTGGTGAAATTGATTGGCAAATCTGACCTGCTTGCTAAGGCTGCGGCCCTCAGCCCTGGCTACACATTAGAATCACCTCATGTGATTGCTGAAGTCACACTCATATGATTGCAACAGTTTTAGGGGCAATCCCTCAACTGTTCTTACTGTGGGTACTCCTTGCACAGCACTCCCACAATAATGTCCTGGATCTTACACCACCACCAAAGGTATCATTCCAGTCACTGCTCCTAATTCAGTTGTGTAGAGTTGTATGTTTGTTTGTTCCCCCCACGTCCCACGTGGTTCAGGGTTCAGGATCTGGAAGAGGGGCCGCACACAAATGAAAGAGACGAGACAAGTAATAATTTGGAAATATTGGGGGGCCAACCTCGGGGAAAAGGGGGTTAGAGATCAACCAAAGGACTTGTATGCATGCATATTAACATGATTAATGGGCACAGACACTGGGGCGGTGGGGGCTTGCCCTCAGGTGTGGGAGTGGGGGGGGGAGTTAATTGGGGGAAAAAGGAGACATGTAATACTTTAAACAATAAAAAAAAATGTGAAATCATGCAGCATTTGTCCTGTGTCTGGCTTATGTCATTTACCATAATGTCCTCCGGGTCCATCCATACTGGGGGAAATTTCCTTCTTTTTTATGGCTCAATAATTTTGCATACGATGCAACCTGTTTGGGTGGAGTTCTGCTGCACATCTGGCTGCTTCCACGTGTGATTTATCAAATTGCTTATCCGTGGCAAATAGCACATCCCAACCTGCTGTTGTCCTACAGGACTGAGTTGTTTTCTGGTGGGAGACAACGGACAGTGAACCTGGAACCTTGTCTGGAAAGAAAATCACTAAGACGCATGGAGGATAGACAAGTATGCTTGCCTGGTCAGGAACAGGAAGACTGTGTCTCTGGGGAGAGCATAGCTGAGAGCAGGCAGCAGGCTCTCCTGAGTGTGGGAAACCTGGGGATGGGATGGCTGGGACAGATTTAAGAACTCCCTCTGGTGGCGAAGGGCATCAGCTCTGAGGAACGCTCAGGGTCAAAGCAGCCTTCTCTCCTTCCATAAGCATTTACTCATCCAGCGAGGCCCTCAGGCTTAGCTCATGGAAGCACACCCACAAGCTGATGCCTGGGGTCTGTAAACTCTTTTTCTTTATCACCCGGCATGAAGTTTTGACCCTTTCCTGGATCCAGTGTGGCCCCAGAAACCCTACTCAAGCACCCACCCTTACAGTTGAGCGACTTCTCCATGTGATTGGCTGCATCCAAACCAAGGGACTCACTGTAACTGCGCTACTCAGAGTGGGATCCAGAAACCAAGAATATCACCACCTGCTGGTTTCTGGTTAAGAAGCAAGCCCTCCAGGCCTTCCCAGACCTACTGGGTCAGAATCCTGGGATAGGGACAAGCGCAGGGACCTGGGTGTCCACAGGCCTTCAGGGGTGATGGTACCTTTTGAAGTTCACAAGCAGCTTCACACAGATGCTGGAGGCCTAATTCATGGTACAGCGCTGAAGTTTGTTTGCGAAGCGAGTGTTATCTAATCGTCCAAGAGCTGCATTTGCTATTCCAGCAGTGGGCCTTGAATGTCCCTTCTCTAGAAACTGCACACAGCAAATTGTGCTCGCTGAGCTGTGACAACTGTGGCCACCAGAGGGCACCAATGGTCACCTAATGTATACAGCTCAGGGATCCCTGGAGCTCATTTGGTTCACTCTTCTCTCTGTTTCTCTTTCACTCCTCCTATTCTAGAAATAAATTCCTACAAAGAAACCAATAGGTGCAGCGCATGTTGGGGCCATCTCCTGTAAACCCCTCCGGAGAGAGGGCATTTGCTCATCCAGCCAGGCCCACAGCTTAGCTCATGGAAGCGCATCCACAAGCTGAGAAGTTGTGCAAAGAGTGATGCACTGAGCTCAGCTTCATCCTCCAACATCCCTAGTGAGGCCACAGCCCAGGAGCCAGTGAGTCCAGTCTGTTTCAGAAGCCACAGGGGGTCTGAGGAGCCAGTGGGACAAGGAAACACTGGGGCCCATAAAAACCTCAGTGTGCCCCTTCTGTACATTTACACTAATAAAAGAGAAACATGGTAATTGGCGTTACCTGACGACAATTGCTGGGGAGCAAAATCCCAGTGGATTGAGAAAATGCTCTGGATAGTAGCAGTTTTACAGCGTATTGTATATATAGTAACATCTAAGGAGAAGATTAAGGAGGGTTACATGAAGTCTGTTGGTGGATTAAAATGATGGGAGAAAACAAAGAAGGGGAAACTCTGGATTAGATAAAAAGTGAAATGGAGAGACACATACTTTTTTACATTGGTGGGTTCAGGATGATTAATAACAACATTACAGCACATAGAGATGGTACTTGGCAGGGGAGCGGGGCGGGGAGCACCATAAAAATGAGGGGTCTGTGATCTCAGTGCTCTGGTGCAGCAGTTCTGCCCTGAGGGGTCTAGGAAAGGAGACTGCGCTGACATTTCAAAGGTATATGATCTTAGATTTTATAAAAAGACAATAGGCTCACTTAAGGTGAAGGTTCACCTTTGTCAGGAAAGCTACAGGCCTAGGCTGTGACTGCCTGCCACAACCCACTTTTAGTCCGGAAATTTTATGTTTAGACATTCTATGTGGTTACTTTCAGTCTCCGAGTTTGTAGGGCCTGCCAAGTTGACCTCCCATGAACTTGTCAGGTTTAGTGTATGGCCCTTTTTTTCATCCACACTAGCAAAGGATAGCATAGTTCTTACTCGAGTCAATTTTCCTGACTTGGTTCTATATTGTCTGATCAGGAGTGGAAGGTAGCCCTGGCCAATGTGGCTCAGTTGGTTGGGTATCATCCCATGCACCAAAAGGTTGCCAGTTCAATTCCTGGTCAGGGCACATGCCCAGGTTGCAGGCTCAATCTCTGGCATGTAGGAGGTAGCCAATCAATATTTTGCTCTCACGTCAATGTTTCTCTCCCTCTCCCTCTCTCTTCCTCTCTTTCTAAAAAGTAATTTTTAAAAATCTTAAAAAAAAAAAAGAGTGGCAGGTAAAATTTTATGTTTCCCTTTCTTTTCCAAATTTAGACTCTTGTGAATTTGGTTTAGGGCTACCCACTAGTTATTGATCCTTTTCTTTCCCAGGGAAAGCTATTGACTTCTTGTCTATCTTGTTTTGTGTCCTATAGTCTACTTCTCTGTGATTGGGTATAGTATTTTTAAAGCAACAATTCTCAAAGTGTGGTTCTCGGACCAGCAGAACAACAACAGCAGCAAGGAATTTGTTAGAAATGCAAATTCTCAGGCCTCACCCCAGCCCTGCTAAGTCAGAAACTCTGGGGTAGAATCCCACAATCTGTGTGCTAATGAGCAGTGGTAGGCCGCTTCCTGAATGGTCCTCATGATCTCCATCTCCTGGTATGCATGCCCTTGTGTAATCCCCACCCTCTGAGTATAGCCTGGACTTCATGACTACTTTATAATGAAAAAACAACAGTAGAAGGGATAAGATGTCACCGCTAAAAACTAGTCTATAAAGACTGTGGCTTCCATCTTAGTCACTCTCTGGCTCTCTGGCCATAAGACCACTAGCTGATGTGGTGTAAGGACACGGAGGCAGCCTATGGAGGGACTCAGATGACAGGAACCAAGACTTGCCAGCAACCACACGCGGGAGCTTCTCTCACAACCAATTCCAGTCAAGCCTTCACTTAGACTGTAGCTCAGCCAGCAGCTGAACTGTAACTTTACAGAGACCTTGAGCGGAGGCACCCAATTAATCTGTGCTTAGATTCCTGACCAACAGAAATTGTGAAATATTAAATGTTTATTGTTTGAAGTTACTAGGTTTTGCAATAATTGACTGCATAGCAATGTGACTAACTCAAGTGATTCTGATGGAGGCTAAAGTTTGAGACCCACTGCTTTCATTTCAGGAATAGTCAATTGGCCACAATTAAATCAGAATTTCTCACTCTATCCCTTGCCATTCAGTAAGGATCAGTAAGTTGTTCATTTCACCTGCCTTTTAAGTTGGATCCTAAGATTTCCTAAACCTGATAGGTCATGTATTGTTTTCCAGGTTGAGTGTCTCTCTTTCTTTTGCTTTCCCCTTGCTTTTAAGACCACTCATTTCCTATTTTTATATAGTCCACTATAATTTGCCCTAGGGGTATCCTGTGAAAAGATACACCCCAATAACTCTAGTCTTCCAAACTCATCTGCTGTTGAAACAAGTGTTGTCCATTCTCTCTTCCTGAGATTGATAACTTCCATCTAAGAAGACATTTCTCATCAGAATGTCTGCAACCCAAGCTGCCTTTGGTAAAATGTCTTACTTCTGCTGCACCCTCCTTTCCTTGAGTTTATCAAGCACATTCCTTTGGAGCTGAAGCAAACCTGTATCTCCATCTGTAGTGTCTGCACTACCTGCAAATCACACAATAGAACTTGATATGCTGAGGTTGGTGAAATTGATTGGCAAATCTGACCTGCTTGCTAAGGCTGCGGTCCTCAGCCCTGGCTACACATTAGAATCACCTCATGTGATTGCTGAAGTCACACTCATATGATTGCAACAGTTTTAGGGCCAATCCCTCAACTGTTCTTACTGTGGGTACTCCTTGCACAGCACTCCCACAAGAGTGTCCTGGATCTTACACCACCACCAAAGGTATCATTCCAGTCTCTCCTGAGACCTCTCTTCTCTTCAGCAGTGAGATGCTTTCAACCCCAGTCACTGCTCCTAATTCAGTTGTGTAGAGTTGTATGTTTATTTGTTCCCTCCACGTCCCGCGTGGTTCAGGGTTCAGGATCTGGAAGAGGGGCCGCACACAAATGAAAGAGAAGAGAAAAGTAATAATTTGGAAATATTGGGGGGCCATGCTTGTGTTCTCATTGCCCCCGGTGCTTTCCAGACACAAGGTGACATTACAGAGCGGAGAAGACCACATGCCCACAAAAGCCCAAGAGTGACTCTTTTCCTCTGTACCGAAAAAGTTTGCCAAATCCTGTTCTAGGCATTTTGGCCGGAGTCCCAATAGCACCTGGCACAGCAGTCAGTGCCTCTCAGTCTTTAACTGGCCCTGGGTTCCCTAGGGATTTGTAAAATGCAGTCTCCTGGTCCAAAGGTGCAGGCCCTGAGAACATACATCTCCAAAAGGGTCTTTGAGCTGCTGTTGCCACTGCCGCTGGCCTTGCTTGCTCTTTGAGTGGAGGCTAGAGTCTCCTCCTCCATTGTCCCAGCTGTCACGGACCAGGAAATGTGTCAGTAATACTGTTGCCAGCAAAGAGACCTGGCCTTGAGCGGGTCTGCCTAGGACCAGCAGTAGTGTGTGGGTTCTTGACTCCATGCAGGAAAGATTTCACAACATGGGTCCAGGCAATGTTTAGAGGATGCTTATTAAAGCTGTGCACAGTTAAACAAGGAAGGGCCTAGAATAGAAGAAGCAAAGGAGAGAGACTAGGTGGGGAATGAGCCTAGGCTGGGCTGCTTTCACTCACTAAGAAGTCTGAGAAAAGGGAGCTTTGGGGGCAGGATCAGGGTTTTACCCAGGACAAGCGGCCACTGCCCATTGTTCCCCAGTTGCAAGTCTCATGGGGTCCCTTAGAGTTTAGAAGATGTGATGGAAGAAGAGGGGAAAGGGAAAGGTGCAGACAAGCTCCTGTATATAGAAAACCCTAAAGACTCCACCAAAACACTATCTCCTGAGACCTCTCTTCTCTTCAGCAGTGAGATGCTTTCAACCCCAGTCACTGCTCCTAATTCAGTTGTGTAGAGTTGTATGTTTATTTGTTCCCTCCACGTCCCGCGTGGTTCAGGGTTCAGGATCTGGAAGAGGGGCCGCACACAAATGAAAGAGAAGAGAAAAGTAATAATTTGGAAATGTTGACCGGGAGTTCAACTAGGGGGTGGGGCCGGCCAGCCAAATGCCCACGGCCCCTCCCCCCAACCAGCAGCGGTGGCAGGCAGCCAGGGGAAGGGAGGCCCTGGCCGTATTTCAGCAAAGTAGTAGGATGCAAAGTTAATATCCAGAAATCGATAGCAGAATTATACAGCGATAATGAACTTGCAGAAAGAGAAACTAAGAAAATTATCCTATTTATCATTGCAACAACAACAAAAAACAAGTTATCTAGGAATAAACTTCACCATGGAGGTAAAAGACTTGTACTCAGAAGACCATAAGACATTGAAGAAACAAATAGAGGAAGATACAAACAAGTGGAAGCATATACTGTGTTCATGGGTTTAGAGAATTAGCATTATCAAAATGTCCATACTATCCAAAGCAATCTATAGATTCAATGCAATTCATATTAAAATACCAAAGGCATATTTCATAGATCTAGATCAAATGTTCCAAAACTTTATATGGAACCTAAAGGACTCCAAATAGCCTTTGCAATCTTAGAAAGAAGAACAAAGTTGGAGGGATCATAATACCAGATATCAAACTGTACTATAAAGCCATTGTAATTAAAAAAAAAGTAAAGTACTAGATCAGGAACAAGCATATACATCAATGGAATAAAACAGAGAGCCCAGAAATCCACCAATGCCTTTATAGTCAATTAATATTTGACAAAGAAGGCAAGAGTATACAATGGAGTAAAGACAGTCTCTTCAATAAATGGTGTTGGGAAAATTGGACAGGTACATGCAAATAATTGCAATTAGACCACCAACTTACACCATTCACAAGAATAAACTCAAAATAGATAAAAGACTTAAATGTAAGTCATGAAACCATAAAAATCCTAGAAAGAGGAAAGGAGAGAGAGAAAAACATTGATCAGCTGCCTCCTGCACATTCACTCTTCTTCCCTGGGCTCATGTTTTGATATGCCAGTAGCTCTCAGTCTGGGAAGGGGGACCATCCCAGACACCAGGAACCTGGCAAGAGTATAGACACACTTGTAAGGACCAGCTGTGTCCATGCAGCTGTGATCACATCTGGGTGTGACCATCCCCATCCTCTCCTCGGCTGCAAGTGAGGACAGACACAGTGCGCCGAGGTCTAAACCAGCCCTCGTGTAAGGGTAGGTGTGGCCATTCCTTTGGAATACACCTGGGCTCTTAGGAAAGGGAGCACATTGATGTCTGCAGGACGGATCCATGTTGTTCAGTCCCCTTTGGTGGCAAAGTGGGGGTGGCCTCTGTGTTCATTGTTTGGACACTGTCGAGACACTTGCATCCTATCCAGATGTGTTAAGACTCCACTTCACACAGATCGCCACAGCCTGTTCCCCCCAAAACCCATGAAGATGCTCCTAAGATTGCTGACACCCATTCCAACCCCAAACATGCACAATTCTTCTCAGGCTAAAAAACCATATTACTTATGTTTTGATGGCAGTATTATTGAACTTAAAGTCTCCTGAGAAAAGATACAATCTCTTTCTCTTTGCTTTGGTTAAACCACTATCCTGAAGTATGATTGATATCCAATGTCTACAACCCAGTTTAGAAATTAGTATACACCATGAAATCATCACCATAACCAAGACCATACACTTATACCTGCAAAAGTTGTCTTCCGCCGTCCATATTTTAGTTAATTTAATTTTTCATTTTGTGGTAAGAGCACTATCTACCCTCTAGCACATGTTTAAGTGCACAATACAGTATTTTTAGCTGTAGGTTCCAGGTTGTATGGCAGATTTCCCCAAATTATTCATCCTGCATAATTTTATGCCCTTTGACCAACATCTTTCCATTTCACTTCCCTCATCCCTGGGAGCCACACTCTGCTTTCTTCTTCTGTGAGCTTAATTATTTTGGATTTCTCATAAAAGTGGAATCATGCAGCCCAGCTGGTGTGGCTCAGTGGTTGAGTTTCAACCTATGAACCAGGAGGTCACTGTTCAATTCCCGGTGAGGCACATGCCCGGGTTATGAGCTTGATCCCCAGTAGGGGGCATGCAGGAAGCAGAAGATCAATGATTCTCCCTCTCCCTTCCTCTCTGAAATCAATAAAAAAAAAAAAAATTTAAAGTGGAAACACAAGCCAGTTGGAGAAAGATAAATATCACATGATCTCACATTCATTTGTGGAATATAATGAACAACATAAACTGAAATGAACAAAAATGGACCCAGAGACAAGGTGGCACTGAGCAGACCGTCCAACCTCGGGAAGAAAGCAGGGGAGAGGGGGTTAGAGATCAACCGAAGGACTTGTACGCATGCATATTAGCATGATTAATGGACACAGACACTGGGGCGGTGGGGGCTTGCCCTCAGGTGTGGGAGTGGGGGGGGGAGTTAATTGGGGGAAAAAGGAGACATGTAATACTTTAAACAATAAAAAAAAATGTGAAATCATGCAGCATTTGTCCTGTGTCTGGCTTATGTCATTTACCATAATGTCCTCCGGGTCCATCCATACTGGGGGAAATTTCCTTCTTTTTTATGGCTCAATAATTTTGCATACGATGCAACCTGTTTGGGTGGAGTTCTGCTGCACATCTAGCTGCTTCCACGTGTGATTTATCAAATTGCTTATCCGTGGCAGACAGCACATCCCAACCTGCTGTTGTCCTACAGGACTGAGTTGTTTTCTGGTGGGAGACAACGGACAGTGAACCTGGAACCTTGTCTGGAAAGAAAATCACAAAGACGTATGGAGGAGAGACAGGTATGCTTGCCTGGTGGGGAACAGGAAGACCGTGTCTCTGGGGAGAGCATAGCTGAGAGCAGGCAGCAGGCTCTCCTGAGTGTGGGAAACCTGGGGATGGGATGGCTGGGACAGATTTAAGAACTCCCTCTGGTGGCGAAGGGCATCAGCTCTGAGGAACGCTCAGGGTCAAAGCAGCCTTCTCTCCTTCCATAAGCATTTACTCATCCAGCCAGGCCTTCAGGCTTAGCTCATGGAAGCACACCCACAAGCTGATGCCTGGGGTCTGTAAACTCTTTTTCTTTATCACCCGGCATGAAGTTTTGACCCTTTCCTGGATCCAGTGTGGCCCCAGAAACCCTACTCAAGCACCCACCCTTACAGTTGAGCGACTTCTCCATGTGATTGGCTGCATCCAAACCAAGGGACTCACTGTAACTGCGCTACTCAGAGTGGGATCCAGAAACCAAGAATATCACCACCTGCTGGTTTCTGGTTAAGAAGCAAGCCCTCCAGGCCTTCCCAGACCTACTGGGTCAGAATCCTGGGATAGGGACAAGCGCAGGGACCTGGGTGTCCACAGGCCTTCAGGGGTGATGGTACCTTTTGAAGTTCACAAGCAGCTTCACACAGATGCTGGAGGCCTAATTCATGGTACAGCGCTGAAGTTTGTTTGCGAAGCGAGTGTTATTTAATCGTCCAAGAGCTGCATTTGCTATTCCAGCAGTGGGCCTTGAATGTCCCTTCTCTAGAAACTGCACACAGCAAATTGTGCTCGCTGAGCTGTGACAACTGTGGCCACCAGAGGGCACCAATGGTCACCTAATGTATACAGCTCAGGGATCCCTGGAGCTCATTTGGTTCACTCTTCTCTCTGTTTCTCTTTCACTCCTCCTATTCTAGAAATAAATTCCTACAAAGAAACCAATAGGTGCAGCGCATGTTGGGGCCATCTCCTGTAAACCCCTCCGGAGAGAGGGCATTTGCTCATCCAGCCAGGCCCACAGCTTAGCTCATGGAAGCGCATCCACAAGCTGAGAAGTTGTGCAAAGAGTGATGCACTGAGCTCAGCTTCATCCTCCAACATCCCTAGTGAGGCCACAGCCCAGGAGCCAGTGAGTCCAGTCTGTTTCAGAAGCCACAGGGGGTCTGAGGAGCCAGTGGGACAAGGAAACACTGGGGCCCATAAAAACCTCAGTGTGCCCCTTCTGTACATTTACACTAATAAAAGAGAAACATGGTAATTGGCGTACGACCACTACCCTTTTCATTGGCTAATCAGTGAGTATATGCAAATTAACTGTCAGCCAAGATGGCGGCCGGCAGCCAGGCACTGAAGCGAGCACGAGGCTTGCTTGCTGCAGACTCCAACGTTCAGCCTCACTTGCCAGCCTCTCAGCTGCAA